AGAAACCCGTACAACTGCCAACTCCGGTGACTCATCCTGCTGCAGGCTGCGCTTGTGGCTTCGCCTGTGGGCAACAAGTGAATCATGCGGCAAACGCGCGCGCAACACAAAAAAGAGCTGCTGCCTTATCAGAGAGTAAGAGGCGGCGGCAGGTGGTTACGCACTTGGCTTCTTAGCCTGGCCGAGAACAAACTACCGCAGCGACGACGACGGCGGCGCCGCGCAAAGTGTTTGCTGATAAGCGAGACGGCACTCACACACACGCACACACACACGCGCGCACGAGGGCCAACAGGATAGAGCGAGATACTTAACAAACCAATTAGGATGCCAAAAACACCAGAAAAAAGGCAGCAAGTCATAAAAAGAACAAGCAAGGGGGCGCTCTAGTCGGGAGTGCCCGCCTAGGACATACCCTGGCTTACAACCTCTTAGCGAATGTGCTCCTTCTTCTTTCCGTAGCCCCACACTAGATGATATACAATCTTAAATAACTCGGCTGTTTATAGTCTGATTTTAACCAAATTTTCAGGACTTGAATATGACATACAAAAGTGCGTATATGCCAAAGCATAAGACTCAGGCTATTAAAAAAGGGGTTTCTTTTTAATGTAGGAGGTACGAGTACTATTCCTGATCTTTATATACCATACGATAGCTTATAACGAAGAAAGGGCTAAGCTATGCTACCCGGCTGCACTCGCTTTCATTTTATATAGGGTATAGAAAAAAAAACCAACCAGCAGCATGCGGCAATATCAGTTAATCTATCTATACTGTATATATGTATACATTTTATACATGAAGGCAAGGGCAGCAAGCGGAGCGAAAAAACTGACAGCTTACGGATAATTACTGACAAAAACACACACACACTCACACACACACACACACACACTAGATGTACAGCTCAGCTCTAAGCGCCGTGCGGCAATCTGTGTGATCCATTGAGTAAGGTATACGAGACCTAAAAAGAAATAAAAATAATAAAGGAAAACTGTGCTGGATCGATTGCCCAAACTGTCTTGTTAGATAAGAAAATGATTGCCCCCTCGGCGAGTGCCCCGCGGCGCGGCCAGCAACGTCCGAGAGTGTAATTTGGTCAGGTATCTTGCAACAAATGTTCATAATTTTTAAGAATGACTCAAATAGTTTTTTCTTGGCGCTATCGCAGCGCCGAGATCTCTCCAGTTTTCGGGACCGCTCGCTTGATCTTCGGTATCAATTTCCTGCTATGATTGAATGAATCTTAGTTTTCCTGCGTCCTACACTTTTTTGGTATGTGTGGGCGGCTTATCTGCCTGACAAAATCTACAAAAATTGCCAGTTTCCAGGAAATTTTCAAACACCTTTTTTTTTTTGACAAAATATGTACTTAGCTTGGTTTTATTTTTTTAGCAACAGTTGATTCCCTTGCCTCAAACTCTTCATCACATTTTTGCCTGCTGCTGCGTGTATGTGTGAGTATATGTGTGTGTGTCTCCCAGCATCTTTTGCTGCCCGGATGAGTCATTTAATTGAGCCGAAAATTGACTTTGTAGTGCACAACAGGGCCTGGATAAATTAATTTACTGGCCGTTGATAAAAAAAAAAAGGAAAAATAAAAAATAAATAAATAAAATTCCCGGATGACTCACATGGACTCAAGTCTCTAGTTCTGATGTATCCCAGTCGAACCTGAAGCGGCATTGCAACGGGTGTGTGTGTATGTGTGCTTGTGTGTTCCGGAGTTATCTATTAATAGCATCAAGTCAGTTTTATGAGACAAAAAAAAACATCAATTGCGTGTCTGGGGCAATCCTCTGTCTTATCAGCGCATGCAAACAAATACATTACATAATTATTAATCTATAATAGTATTCTATATACATATATGTATAGTATATGCATGTAAAACCCACCGTTGCATCATATTTAGATCACAACATGATTGTTTTACCTCATTTGCTTCTATGTTTCTATGTGTGCTCGTTATCGCGCATGTGTTTTAATGGAAAGAGCTTTTTTCTATGGCATTGAGCTTTGGGCCTAAAAACCTTCTGTGTGCATGTGCACTGTACGTGAGCTGAAGAAGAACGTAATGTTTATTTATTTTAAATAATTGGATCAGCAATTATAAGAAATAATACAAAATCATTTAGAATACATACATACACACAACAATTTTGTAAATATGTTAGCATTTTATGTTGAAAGAATATTTTACAAGGCATTAGATCAAATTTAGAAGAGAATTTTGAATATTTGTATGTTTAACCTGAAAAGATTTCAAAAAATATATATAATAATTGCTTTCCATTTAATTGGTTGCTTTTTTAAGATTAGCTTGATTAATTAGCAAAGCTCTGACAAGTCCATTGATAAATTGGCTGTTGATTATAATCAAGTATTTTTTTGTTGCCTGTCTGCCTCTAATGCCGCATTTTCAATTCATGCGTCAATATTTTACTCGTTGAGGCATTGTTTACGGCCCGTGTTCATATAGTTTTCCAGCTAGAGAGTGAGATGCGCGCGCAAACAAGCACATTTGTTACCAACTGTTGTTTATTGTTAACCGACACGCGTTGCGTTTTTCATGCGAATCCGAATCGCTCGCACATTGAGTGATTTCTTTATACACTACTTTATTTATTTATAGTTTTTTTTTCGCTTTATCTGGAATACCTGCGAGCGCTTAAGTTCGCTCGCACCCGCTATCATCTTATCGCGAGCAGCGACCAACACGTAATGCCCACGGCTGAGGCCAGTTTTTATGCTGCGATAAGCATTTGCATTCGCCTTTGTTTAATGTGCTTCGCATAATTTTATTTTTTTTTCAATAAAATGTTGTTTTTTTAAAGCAACTTATAAACTCATTTTGGGCACGACCATATGTAGACCTTCGATAGCTCAGTTGGTAGAGCGGTGGACTGTAGAGTGATATACAAATTGTAGACATCCATAGGTCGCTGGTTCAAATCCGGCTCGAAGGATCGTACCAACATTTTTTTAAATATTTTTCCGTGCTTGTGCTGAGAGTTTCGAGTGCAGCTTTTCATATTGACATATTGTATGCAGCTTTGCGAAAATCCAAAGTTATAATTATTTCAAAATATATAAATTTGCTTCAAAATATGTTTTCTTTTTCAAATAATAGATTACGAATATGCGCACAAATTTTGAAATGTAATGAAATATAAATAATTAATTAATTAGCATTCAATAACATTCAATTACTATAGCTAGACATCCCTTTCTAATGACATCTGTTTGCGTTCAGAATCAATTTATATATAAAAATATTCATTCAGTTAAAAATCTATTTCTATAAAAAATTTTCTGTATCTGAAGCATTTATTTATAGACTCTAAACGCTAAACTCTAAAAGACGTCATATATATGTAATATTGAAGGTAAAACTATTTTAAAATAAATTTAAAAATAATTCTTATTTCTAAAAGCAAACAAAATAAATCCTTCGAGCCGGATTTGAACCAGCGACCTATGGATATCTACTCTTTACGCTTTGCACCGCTACAGTCCACCGCTCTACCAACTGAGCTATCGAAGGTATATGACGAGGGGGGATTTACGGTTAGTTTTAAGATACTCACCGTCGCTAGCTTTCAAACGTTTCACATTGTCAGCATAATGAAAAGACTGCGCAATTAAATTGTTTTTGTTTTTTTTTTTAATAAAATTTTTTCTTTTATATTTTTTCAACTTTCCTCATCATGATCACCATCATCATCATTTTCATCGTTATCATCATCAGCAAATGCTCATCATTCATCAAATATATTGGTTTTTTGTTGTTGTTTTGTTTTAAATAAATAAAATAATAAAATTTATAAGAAAATTACAAAATACATGGCGCGCTCTGCCACTTCAGGGCGCAATTACGTTTCGATATTTGCTTTTCGAGTTCATATTTGTATATATGCATATACATATATATACGTATATATATATTTGTTTTTTTTTTTTTGTTTTTTTTTTCTTAGTTTTTTACTAATTACTTTTCAACATGCTGCGCTGCTTAACGTTTAACACTAACTGCTACATTTACATTAATTTAGTCATATATTTAACATACGGTTATTTTATTCGAGTTTAGCTTAAAACGCATAACAATAAACGATAGTTTTATATTATTTATTTCTTTTTGATTTCTTTAGAATTTAAATTAGGTTTTAGTTGTAGTTTAACTTTAGTTTTTCTTTTTGTTTAGTTAAGAAGTTTTGCTTTATACAGTTTACAGTTTAGTTTTGGGGCACGAAGTTGAATACCGTTGCGTCGATATTTATGTGTGTGTGTGTAGCTAGGTGAGTTTGTATGTATGTATGTGTGTGTGTGTGTGTGTAGGGTGTAGGATAAGTATTTAAGTTTAGTACATATACAAGAGAGTTACATACGCAGTATATATTTAGTGTATATATATATATATATGTATATATATATACATATATATATATTTATATAATATATACATATATATATATTTATATAATATATTTTTGTAGCTGATCTCTACATAATTTCAAGCTCTTTTTAGAACTTGATTTATTTCTTGATTCGTTTTTACAGTTGTTGTTTTTATTTGATTTTCATTAGTTATTAACAATTAGGCTGTTGGGCAAAGCTGCACGCTTTTCGCCCAGTTTTTATATATTCATATATTTATAGCTTAGCATTAGCTTTTATACAATTTGTTCAATTCAGCAGTGCGAGCTGCAAGATACAAAAGTATCTCAAAGTGCGGTCTATGGCATTTTGTTGACTGCTACTATGGCTGCAGGGGGCGACAAACTCTGAGGCGGGGTAGTATTGGGGGTGGTATTTTGGGGGCGTGGCTATTTACAGTTGGTTGGTTGATCGCGGCGTCTCAACACGTTGGACTCTGTGCAACATTTCCAAAGCCTGGCTGTGGAAAGTGACAGAGGCGCGGCGGCTGCTGCTTGTCGGGCGCTGCTGCTGCTGCTGCGAGGGGATGGTGATGTGGGAGTTGGGGGGCAGGGGGCGTGGCTGCATTTCGCTCTACATACAATTAAAGTCTACGATTTACACTTAAAATTCAAATATTCAGTCCATTTTGTTTGCGTTGTGTTTAAAGCATTGACGGCTTGGAACCAAACAGCATTTGATGCTCTCTCTCTCGCTCTCTCTCTGTTTCTCTCAGTGTCTCTGTGTGTGTGTGTGTGTGTGTGTCTATCGACAACCACAGCCGACAACTGTCATATCCTGATAGTTCTTGAGCACAACTGTCCTTTGGTCATTGAGATAGAGCATCGAGATGCCCTCCAGCTGTGTGGGCACACAGCACGCCTTTGGTACCTTCCCTGGATTGAGATTATTGACTAAGGTTTGCACAACCGCATGGTTTGTGGAATTGAGATGATCGGCCAGCGGGAACTGGCATTTGCCATGGCAATAATATGCATCATAGCCCGGCGGCGCCACAATCCAATCGCTCCAGCCGACATCTTGGAAGTCCACATATAGCGAATGCCGTCGGCAATTATCTTCATTATTTTTGCGTCTCGAGCGTCGCTGATGCCTACGATTGCGACCGCCGCCGCCACCGTTGCCGCCCCCCTCCCGCCCGCTGACGTCACGTATGGAACGCGACTTGTGCCGGCCATCGTCCGTATAGGTGAAGAGCAGCGGCTGCTTGTGCTGCCAATCGTCGTGCGCCTCGTCCGCGCTGCGGCGTAAGCGCACATGATGATGCGGCGCCGGTTTTAGGGAGCGCATCGTCCGCACCTCCACCAGCAGGCCGTAGTTCTTTTGCGGTGTAGCCAGCCACCGATCCACGGCAGGTTGCACGTCCAGACTCACCGTTTCGGTGCTATTCAGACGCACTGTCTTCGTATCCAGCAGCAAATAGCTGGGCTCCCTGTGGCCCCGCACGCCCACCCGGGTGATATCATAGACGAGCACCTGGTAGCGGGTCCGATATACCGTTTGGCTAACGCTGAGCGCCTCGCGCGTCAGCTGCAGCTCGGCGGCCTTCAGCTTCTCCTCGGCGGGTATGCTCTTCACATCGAAGTGCAGCCGAAACCGATGATGATGTGGAAATCTATCGTCGATTTTACTATCTGCAACACATACAACAAGAAACAAGGCGGCAGCTTAGTAAAAATATAAATTCAACATTAAATAAAGTTTATATACGGCACGAAGAAGCTTAAATACACTTTTAACTTATGTGGCTTACGGCTATGGAGACATGCGAGGGGAATTGGGAATTGCTCAAGATATCTTGACGCATATAAGGTTTGTCTTTACAAAAAGTCGAAAGATGCTTTCTCTAGAGCTATATGATATAATAGTCTGATTATGAATATATCTATTCGATTCTTCCTAAGAGCTTACTGATTGGATTTTGTTCATATATAAAAAGTTTACTCAAGATAGTTTGGGCAAAATAAAATGTTTTCAATTAAGAACCTTTTTGTCAAGATCCGATGTTCATCAAATTTAGTTTGTATATAGGAAGCTTAATAAAACTGTTGAATACCAAGTTTTGGTCCAGATATTTTAAATAACAAAAACTCAAAAACTCTAACAATGACTTAACTTTCAGCGATTGTTTCTATATGTTCAAAAGGTATGTTATGTTTCATGAGAGACGCTTAAAGAATGAGAGACTAGTTAGAATAGAGAGTATCTCATATATAGCATAGATCCCAAGTATTCGCCTTGCGACTTGTGTCCTTTCGTGCGTTACACATTCCATGACAAATCTCGAATACCCTCTGCAAGGGTATCAAATGAAGAAGAAGCAGCAGCGAGCCGAAAATCACACGTTCCAGTTGCCCGAGGCGGTCGCTTCGGTCACTTTTGTCGAGCCGACTTTTACGACTGGCGCCTGTGCAAAAGACCTGACCCACCCACACGCAGGCTACGATCCGCAGCGGCTGGCCACGCAAGGTGCAATGTGCAAAGGTGGCTCGGCACGAAATCTTAATTTGAATCAGCAACCACCAAGAGACTAGCGACAACAACAACAACAACAACAACAACAGCAACAAAAAAGAACGGAAAATAGAAAAATAGAAGAAGAAAACTCAAGTACCACGAACAAAGAGACAAGTCGTAAATTCTCTCTGAACCGCAGCAGGAAAACGAAACGGAGGACCAGAAATCGGGAGGACCAAAACCAAGACATAGACCGAGACGAACTCGAATGCGTTGCTCGGCTTAGACACTTGGCTTTAGACACTTGTGCTGCAGTGCTACCTGATCAGCCAACTATCTGCGTGTGTGTGTGTGTGTGTGTGTATGTGTGTGCGTGTGTATCTGTGTGCTATCTGGGCCTAACTGCTTTATTGTTCATCCCTCTAATCCTGTGGAAAATAATGCGAAATACGCTTTAATAATAATTGTTATTTTTACAAACACAATATAAAAGCCATTTGGCGCATGCGCTAAACGTTCCGGGTGTAATTCCGTAGAAAAATTTCAAGGTCACATTTGGGTTAAGAGTGAACGGCGTCACAGGTAAAAGGGACACGGCGCATGTCCCTTTCGCCTGGCGACCTTTCATTTGAATGCTGCGGAATTTCCGCGTGATTTCCACAGCTCTTGCGTGAATGATGCCCAAAAAAATGTCGCTGCATCTTCGAGCTGCGGCCAGGTATGCAAATCGCTTAGATGAACCACAATTTCAGGGGAAAATCCTGTCGTGCTCTTCATTCGCGTTTTGCTAGCTGGAAAGTACGCGTTGCTCAACCGCGTTGCCGAGCGTCCCAGCAAAGAGGCAGTGGAAATGTTGCAACTGCCACACGGCCGCGAGCAGGTGGAAAAACAGTTCACGACATTTAACTAACAGTTTAGGTATTAGATTATCCCTCCTCTAAATCCTGGCCGAGTTTTCTAATATTAAAATGGGAGAATATTATACTGGAATATTTTCTTTTAAAGGAATTTGCAGAGAATTTCTTAAAAAATTCCTTGAACACCTAAATTTTCTAAGAAATTTCCTAAAATTAAATTTTTGTTTGTTTTATTTAAGTCTGCCTATATAGATACACGGAAATCTAGAGATCAGTATTATATTAGTTCCAGTTTCTAAATATACTATTAAAACTCGATAATAGAAGAAAATATGTGACGCTTGAAGGTTTCTTCTAGAAAATATTAATCCTTATCTTTAGGAAGTTAAGAATTTTTTGATGTGTCAAGTATTCAAAGACTGTCTGCTCTACAATCCATAATCAAAGACTATATAAATAATATATTTATATATTTATTTCCCTATCTAGATTATATGTAATCAATATAATATTAATTATATAGATATCAAGCAATATAAATATAGATATCAAGCAATATATATAAATATTATATTGTCTTTTATATAGTAATCTTATATATTTTGAAAATTATAATTATTATTTTAAATATACTAAGTCAAAAAAAAAATTAATAGACAGATAAGACAAAGACATATAGAGGAGACCTTCCCATTCGATTAATAAACATATATATAGAAATATATGTATAAAACTAATGGCCGATTCTTGGAAAAACAAATAAAATATATAAAAAAAAGGATCCCAAAAAAATGAGAACAAAATGTTTTCAAATCTATATTCCAAATCTAATAAATTGAAATAAATATATTTATATATTTATATATACATATAAAGATATATATATAGATATATGTATAATATATTTTTGTGTTTTAAGGAATCATCTGTAAAATCCCCTACTGTTATGATTTTTATACAATTTAGAAGTACTTCTTGAGGTTAGTTTTAAAGGTCTGTTTTTAATGTTTGTTTCTAAGGTTAATAACATAATCTGATTTATGTTTGTCATATTCCCGAATCTTGGGTACGCAAAGTGTTCTAAGAAATCTCTAACTAGTTTTCCACTTGAACAAAAAAGTGTACGCATTTCTTCCCATAAACGACTTTATCTATCCATCTAATAATCCCCACCTCCATCATATTTTAGTATAACCATGTGCACTCCTAGCTAATGGGATATCTAATCGAATACTGTTCCAACTTTGAAACATTTATCAACCTCTATAGCATATAGGTTTATCTAAAGTTTATCTATAGCTTATCTAGATGATGGGCGCAACTCACCTTTATGTGTAAAACTTCTCACAGTGTTCGCTGATTTAGTTAATAGTCCCGGTCTGGGTATATTCACGGAATCAATTTCATGTCCCATAATTTGGGCATAGAGGATCTTCATTGCCTCCGGTATTATGATTTTGGATCTGTCGATTTTTGGCGGCCTCTTCATGTTGAACAGCGACAGGAGACTGTTTTCAATTTCGACTAGAGTGGATGGATCCGGTTTCACTTTGTCCTTGATTATCTCCTTGCTGCTATATGTGGCCGGTTCGTCCTCGGCGATGATCGCATCCGCAATGCCCGGCATTTCGAATTCACCCAAAACGATGTCCGTATTCGCATTGCTCGAATCCGGAATGGAGCTGGAGCTGGGGGCGGGCTTGGAGGCGGGACTGAGGGCAAACACGTTCGCAATGGCGGTTTGTTGCTGTTGTTGTTGCAGCTCCTTTTTGGCCATTGTTGTTGTTGTTGTTGCTGGTGTTGCTGGTGTTGCTTTATGATTAGTTAATTGTTTATGCTTATGCTGTTTATTATGCTTATTTTTGGAATTTTCTAATTGGTCTGTTCTTGTTTTATGCACTTCGTTAAACTGTTTCAAGGCGGCACTTTTGCTATGCTTGCTTTTGTTTTTGTTGTTTTTCTTGTTGATGTTGTTGTTGTTAATATCACTATCACTGCTGTTGTTGTTGCTGAGTAGTAACTCGTTAAATGGCTTAAATGCTTTTGCTAATGCTGTCGTTGTTGTTGGTTTTGTTTTAGTTATATTACTATTTATTATGGCCTTTGTTGCGGTTGTTGTTGTTGTTGTTGGCGCTATCGCTGCGATAAATCTCGTTGATATATCCTCGGTGCTAGCAACTTGAACGATCGTTTGAAAAGTCGCCAGCACTGCGAGGAGTAGAAGCCATGCGCGCATGGTCGCTTGCAACTCTGAAACGATACAAAAACATAGGAGATTGTTAGCATTTGTCGATAGGGTTAAAACGACGCCGACGCCGGCGACGACGCACACGTTGACTGCGCCGTTCACAGAGCATGGCGTAAAAACGCTCATATGTTTGCTACTCAAAGAGAGCGTACTAACTGAGAGAGCGCGCGCAGCTGTTTGGCTGCGCTCAATGAGCGCGCATGCTCGCGCAAGGCTTGTGTCAGAGCGAGACAACCATAGAGACTTAGTACACACACACGAGCACACAGCAAGGCAAATGCGTTTGCGGCTGCGTTGTTAGCGCGCTCTCGACGCGACGCGTGAGTGCGTTTTTGAGCGTAAGAGCGCATTGAGCGCTTGGCACAGGTAGCGCAGCAGCAGCAGCAACAGCAGCAGCGACAGCGGCAGCTTCCTTAAGCCAAGTTTTATGGCCGGCGAAAGGTGCGTCCTGCCGCAAAGCAAGCAAGCAGAAGCTACGAAAATGAGCTGTGGCTCATTGGCTGGGCCCAAGCCAACACTCCTCCCGCCGCCCAGCCATCCCACACAGCTCAGCTCTGTCCTCAATTTGAGCGCTTTTTTTTTTTTATATTTTGTGGTGTTGCAACCGCGGACATTGCACCTTTTCGGCGCGCTGACACACGATCTGTGGTATGCAGCAGCGATTTGTGTCTACGCTTAGAAATTCAATACAAATCAAATACACACACACACAAACACACACACGGACAACTACAGAAAGTGGGTTCAATAATATGTTAAGTGAGCGGGGTGGGGTGGGTGGGTGCGGGGGTCTGGGCTGGGCTGGTCTGGGGAAATTAGAGAAGCAAACGCGGCCGTCATAATTTTTCGTCATTTCTCATTTCTCAAGTTTTTATTTCGTGTGAGACAAACGAACTTATCGGTCTTTGATTTATACACAGGCGGCATTTTCCAAAAAGTTGAAGAAAAATCAAACGGCTTTTATCTTGGAAAATTTATGAAAATTATTAAAAGTATTCTATATAGATTTCGGTTTTCGGTTATAGGCAATAAATTTGTGAGATTCTATCTCAAGATGAGTCCGTAGCAGGCACCTTAAGCAGGTCTACGTGCCGCACACACGCACGCACACACGCACGCACACACGCACGCACACACGCACACACACACACCGTTGCTGGCACAACAAATTACATGTTGTTTTTCACATAAAGATTAAAGTCTTATCTAGTACTAAAAAAAAAACTAAAAATTTTGTTATATGACCAGGCGCTAGGCGCAAAGGAATTTCAGATTTCGTTATAAATGAAAGAAGAAGAACAAGAAATTTGGTTGGCACACGCTGGGGGGTGCCGCTGCCAGCGACGGGGGTTTTTCCTTTTTCAGATCTAACGCCTAAGATAAAAAAAAACTAAATGAACATTTTGTTACCCTCCGAGTCTGGGGCGATTGGTTTGAATGAAAATTTTCATAATTATGCATTGCTTATTGGATTTTTATCTATTGTTTATCAATTGCTTTATGAATTTTACATAATTTGTTTGCGTTTGTTTCGTATATGTTCCCAGAATTTTGGCTGTTTAATGGGTTCGCATGCCGCAGGACTACCTGGCCGGGGGTTTCCCCTTTCCGTCCGGCAACTTGAACTGCAATGCGGGATTTTCCGAGCGTTCGTTGATTCAGACCTTCAAGCCTCAACCTTATGGCTGAACAAAACCGCAAGCTCTGGGAAAAGTTCAAATTACATTTATTTTTCTTTTTTATACAGTTTTTTTCTTTTCGGTTTTGGGTTAACGCAGAACGCAAACGCAAATTTCTTGCGCAAATTGACACATTTTTTTTTGCAAGTTTTCATTTCGATTGGGCAATAGATGACATAGTAGAACCTAACGATGTGTGTCACACACACACGCATACGTAGAAAGTCAGCGCAATATGTTCACACACACACACACACACACACACACACACCTGAGAGAAGGGCACACAGCACGCTCTCACAGTTAGTTGGTTGCACAAAGATGCTTAGATACAATGGCACTAGTTGAGGCATTTAATACGCATACAATTCATATTATGTAGCTTGTAATTTATGTGCCAGGACATTGACATCGACATCCTTTGTGGCCTTTGTGCCGACCCATTGCCGACACAAGACTCAAGAGCGGGCGAACGGTACTTTATTGTCAGCCAACAATGTCCATTCCCGGAATCCCCCTGCGCTCTTTTACGATTATGATATATTATGAGATTTATTCACGCACTCGAAATATGTGAAAATATTTTGATCGAGGCGAGTTGCGGAATTTCAACTAAATTATATCATGTCACGCCCTTTCGACTCGAAGAGTTGGTTTGAATAGAGAATACTATAAGAGATAGTCGAGGCGAAACGTAATACGCAGGGAAAATATATGCATATAAGCGTGCCGTGCGCTTTGCGTCGCCTGGCGCTTGAAATTCTCAACCAGTTAAAGCTTCTAAGAGATTACAAGGCGTTCGCAATATAAGCTTAAATTAAGTATGAAATATGACAGAGTTGGTTTAGATAACAAATATTTGTGCCCTATGCTTGTCTTTCACTTTCTATATTAAATATATAAGTTGAGCAGGAAGAACTAGCTTTAATTTAACCAATCCTGGGGTTATATATAAATAACATATTTAATAAATTAACATATTTAATAATATTAGAATGTTAGGTTCTCAGACCTCGAGCTAGCTAAATATTTGTATATATCAATAATTCTAGTTTGTTAACTTTAGTTGAATGCAACAATAAACGCTAACGAAACGAAATATATTTGTCAGGTAGAACAAAACAGTTATATACATACATAATCATATATGATCAATCAATTAATCAAACATATGCGACAAGTCAATCCTTAGAGTTAACTCTTTGTATGCTCTGATTATTCGCATTACTTCAGACTTACATAAATGCATCTGCATAAAGAACTTATACAGACAAACATTTAAAATGTTTATTAATTACATAAATGAAAATATAATACCCTACTCATTTCAGTATTATGCAGCTGACAAATGTTTATAATTCAATAAAAATTAAATATCCTACACACTCGAGCATTATGCATTTATCCAATGCATTCCGCATTTGACCCTTCGTAAAGTTATGTAAAATGCCCCCCACAAAAATCAAACAGAAATTAAGCCCAACTCATTTTCACATTTACCAATATGAAATGGAACTCTGAAATGGTAACACATGAAATTCTAACCACTGACTATGCATATTGGCAGGGGTTAAGTGTCGGGGGCTCTGGAATTCTTGTTGGTGGTATTGCTATACCTTGTATACCCTGTACCCATTGTAAGTGGATAGAAGGGTCTTAGGATTTTGGGCAAGTACGTGTAACAGGCAGAAGAAAGCATCTGCGATACCATAAAGTATATATTCTTGATCAGCATCAAAGGGAAGTCAAAAGGAATTAATATTTCTTTTCTTATAACTTCCCCACTTTATAATACCGATATATATCGATGTCGAGACATGTTTCTTAAGCATAACTCAATTATAAGAGCTAGCCCAAACTTGGTTTCTGGTTTATCGTAAAGAATTTATAGTTTAAGCATATATCACTTTTCGGATACCTTCCCCATTTTCTCCATAATTGGAAAAAACCCTAGTTTTTTAAGTATATCCTTGTGCTTTGGTATACATACATGTTTATATGTCGTATTTTAGTCCTGAAAACTTCAGCAAGATCGGACTGTAAGCACCGAAGTTATTAAAGAATCCATTTCTTATATATTGTGTGTGGCTAGGAATAACAGCTGAGCGTGCAGAAGGGTGCAGAGTATCTGTAAGTCGTGCATTTTACTTTTGAGCGATGCGACCTGCTTGCTTGGCTTGTCTTTGTGTAAGGTTCTCACAGGGGGAGAAGTTCACGTTCCCGTTTTAAGAGACAATTTACATAAGCTTAGCGACAAATGAGCCTTTGAGGCGGGGCCAGTGGGCTGAATGTTGCAGTTCACACACACACACACACAGATACACACTCACACACACCCGCCCGCCCCGTCGCTGAGGATGGGAACAGAGAACTCACCTCAGTCTTATATAGTTTCCTATGTTGTCGTATCTCGGGATCTAGACTTGTGTATATAGAGTTATATATCGTTATACGTTTTTTACTTTACACTTTATTTCTTTAGTTATTAATTTGTAAGCCGCGTATTTTGATGGATTGGCTCGCGCAGGGCCCTCAGCAAACGTGCTTTGATGAATTTATGACATTTACATTTGTTTCGTCGATTTTCCGGGCTGCGCGCTTATCTCAGCTGTTGTTGCTTTGGTTTCTTTCTCCCTCTCTCTCTCTCTCTCTGCCTCGCACTCTATCGCTCTCGCACTCTGCTTTAGATATATTTGCACAATTTACAGCTGTTTTAAGTGGCAAGCGGCTACCGTGCAGCCGTGTGTGTTGCACAGCACAGCGGGCTGGGGTAGACAAAAAAAATATCAAATCACGGTCTTTGTAAATATGTGATAAAAAATGCGTTAAATCTCAGTTTGGTCGCTACGTTTTTTCGCTTGCGATAATTGTAAATGAAATAGATGAAATTCTTGTTAAAAATTTTATTGCCGCATTCCAGGCGCAGGCGCAGCCGCTGGCACTGATTGTGTGTGGTTGCAGTTGCAGTTGTTGTTTTTATTGTTGTTGTTGTTGTCAGGACACATGACACAGGAGTTACGTATCTGTCAGATACTTTAAGCATTGGCACTTTCTTGTTTGTTGTTCTTGTTGTTTCAAACTTTACATTCAATTTGCGATTTGTTCACGCGCTCGCCTTTGCAGCGCGCTCGTGTTGTTGTCGTTGTTGTTGTTACCGTTGTTGTTGTGGTTGTTGTTGGAGTTTCTGCTGACGGCACAGTAATCCACATATTTTCCAAGTGACAACAAACCAAATGCCAAAATAAAAATGCAAACGGAGTCGCACGAAACGTTTAATTTCGACGATTTCTTCACGTTGTTGCCGTTGTTGCCTTTGTAGTTGT